CACCTAAACTTAAAGGCAAGTTCTACCAATCGAGTGGTGGTAAGACCAAATATGTTGTATGGGGCGGAGTGTTGGTCAGTCAAGAACTCTCACGTTTAAAAGATGATTAAAGTAGCAAAATACGTAGCAAAAAGTAGCAGTTCCACAGGAGAGATGAAATCTTGTATAATAGACAAGTTATTTTTCAACGAACCACTTCAAGAAGTATACTTGACCATATTCACTACCTTCTTTAGTTCTACCAAGTGATTTCTTTGCAAGGTTGAATGATTTGATCTAAAATCTTAAACTTGATCATTTTAATGGAAAAATGACAGAAAACCATAATGACACTTATAACAGTGGACATCATTTTATTATGTTTAATACTCCCCGAACAATAGTGTAAATCATTCCAATTTGTACTCAATTTAATGTGAGTTCCAAATGAACTTCAAGAAACCTATATACTTGCTTCAACCACCTGCAATACATTTTTTAGTTGTGTGTTTCAATTTCTCGAGTTGAGCATTACTTAGATACTATCACCTCGATCGGTAGGTGAATTGCCAATCTCCTCAATTCAAATACATTCACCAAGTTGTTGCACGGCTTCCATGAATTTGGCATGAAGATCCACCGTCCATTTTGTGCATGTCCTTCGCCTAACGGTCTTATTAATAGTACTGCTGTTTTCAAACATTGCTTCCTCATGCCGAACAACGGTTGCTCCAGCAATGTCTATATGGCAGAAAAATCTGGGAAATTCACCAGTATTGACTTCAAACGGTGGCAACAGAAAATATTCTTCGATCTGACCATCCTCAGTCTACAACGGTTCATCAATGAAGATGTTCTTGGCATAAGGAACTCCTGATAATGAAAAGTTTATGCTGACTGAGGCATGAAAACATTTAGATTTCCTTTGCAAAATTATATTCCTAACGGCTTGGAAGATGGCTTGTAAACGTTATCAGTGTTTGTAAAACTTCTAGAGAGTTATGGTATGCTCTTGAAAATGCTGAAGATGCTGGATTGAAGGAATTCATGGCTGGAAAAATCATATTCTTAACGGCTTGGAAAATGGCTTGTAAATTTTATCAGTGTTTGTAAAACTTCTAGAGAGTTATGCTCTTGAAAATGCTGAAGATGCTGGATTAAAGGAATTCGTGGCCTTAACAGCTTGGAAGATGGCTTGTAAACGTTATCAGTGTTTGTAAAACTTCTTGAGAGTTATGGTATGCTCTTGAAAATGCTGAAGATGCTGGATTGAAGGAATTCATGGCTGGATAAATTATATTCTTAACGGCTTGGAAGATAGCTTGTAAATGTTATCAATGTTTGTAAAACTTTTAGAGAGTTATGGTATGCTCTTGAAAATGCTGAAGATGCTGGGTTGAAGGAATTCGTGGCTGCAAAAATTATATTCTTAACGACTTGGAAGATGGCCTGTAAACGTTATAAGTGTTTGTAAAACTTCTAGAGAGTTACGGTATGCTCTTGAAAATGCTGGATTGAAGGAATTTGTGGCTGCAAAAGTTATACTACGGCTTGTAAATGTTATCAGTGTATGTAAAACTTCTAAAGAGTTATGATATGCTCTTGAAAATGCTAAAGATGCTGGATTAAAGGAATTCGTGGCTGCAAAAATTATATTCTTAACGGCTTGGAAGATGGCTTGTAAATGTTATCAGTGTTTGTAAAACTTCTACAGAGTTATGATATGCTCTTGAAAATGCTGAAGATGCTGGATTGAAGGAATTCGTGGCTGCAAAGATTATATTCATAAGGGCTTGGAAGATGACTTGTAAACGTCATTAGTGTTTGTAAAACTTCTAGAGAGTTATGCTAAGCTCTTGAAAATGCTGAAGATATTGGATTGAAGGAATTCATGGCTGCAAAAATTATATTCTTAACGTCTTGGAAGATGGCTTGTAAATGTTATCAATGTTTGTAAAACTTCTAGAGAGTTATGATATGCTCTTGAAAATGCTGAAGATGTTGGATTGAAGGAATTCGTGGTTGCAAAAATTATATTCTTAACGGCTTGGAAGATGGCTTCTAAATGTTATCTGTGTTTATGAAACTTCTAGAGAGTTATGGTATGCTCTTGAAAATGCTGAAGATGCTGGATTGAAGGAATTCGTTGCTTTAAAATGGCATGCTCTTGAAAATGCTAAAGATGTTGGATTGAAGGAATTTGTGGCTTTAAAATGGTATGCTCTTGAAAATGCTGAAGATGCTGGATTGAAGGAATTCGTGGCTTTAAAATGGTATGCTCTTGAAAATGCTGGTCTGAAGGAATTCATGGCTTTACAATGGTTGACAGCAAGACTGTCATGTCTCAAATAGAATGACATGAAGGTGCAAGCTTTAAGGTCTTGTTTTTGGTAAATGCGGTTTTGCACAAAATACTTAATCAACATCAAATGACTATTGAATTATTTTCTTTGCTTAGAAGGTATCAGGAAGGGTTTTAAATTACTAAAATTTTTATCCCAGAGAACTGCAATCTTCCAAAGGGTGAAAAGTATTCTGAGTAATGGATTTTATCTATGTGGTCGAAGGTACTCCTTTTTGACGTTCTCAACTAACCATCTGAGGGATCGTTCGCACTTGATCATATCCAATCTGAATGCTGATTTACATTTTACATACTTTCTGATACAGTCAATATATTGCTGAGATAAGAAAGAAGGACATGAATATTTTTTCAACTTTTGGATCAAGTAGTAATCTCGAGGAGCAACGTAACTTCCTCCTCTAGACATTCCAAAACATAAGCGATGGTGGTGTGACAATTGCATCCATAGGATTGTAGCTGATGAAAGTGCAGGAGACGAAATTGGTGATGCGTTTGTGAACACAGGTTCTACTAATGTTATGGATGATTCCGCAGATACTAGCGACAATGAGATCATCTCCCTGTGGTGACATTGATACAAATTGAAAGCAATAATAGAGGAAAGTAATATGCAAGTGAAAGTGCTCTTTATTTCTCAATTAGAAAAGTCTTTAAATAGATAAAAGCTTCTAATAACAGAACACGTCTATTACTCCTAATCATTCTAATCTAAACTGACTCCACTAATCCTCCTGTGGCCTAAACAACAGCAACAAACAAACTACCACCCCACAAATTAGTGTAATTGTGTCCATTACTTCTTAATGACAATGGAGCTGGAGATGCATGACACTTGTACTGGAGAAAAATTGAAAATACTTGGATTATTTCATTTAGTAATATTTTATCTATTTATCTGAATAATTTGTTAAATTTTTTTATTTTAAATAGTATTTATATGTATTGGTACTCCAAACAAAATCTCGATTAAGTGATTTCTTGTTTGAATTTTCAAACTAAACCTTGATGTAGAAATGTCAACGGAATAATGTTCTCAATAAAACTACTATCATGTGTTAACCAAATATAATTTGATAACTCAAAAGAAGCTGAGGTGCTAATAAAGCTCGTTATTGCTAAAACATGTCGTATCTTTTTTTTTTTTTTGATTTCCCACCCGGTGTCCGGAGCTCACATTGGAGCTCCGATTAAATCCGGATTTCGCTTTGCAGGGCTCATTCGGGGGTGGCGCTCCCAACAAGATTTTCTCCATACACAGGGCTCGAACCTGAGACCTCTGGTTAAGGGTGAAACACTCCCACCAGTGCACCACAACCCATGTTGGTAAAACATGTCGTATCTAATCGTTCGTTGCTACTTCAAGCTGCAACAGGATTTTTCATCAAAATCTTTCCGACAATGTAGTTGGCTTTATGTTCCTCTCTTCTAGGGTATATCGGGTAGTCTTTGCAACACGATTTTAGATTGATTAGCTACATAAGAGTTGAATTATATGCTGAGCTTTTTTGTTATGAACTCTGTATATTTGCAGAAGTAGACCATTTTCAATTTCCTATCTATTTAGCGCTTTGAATTTTTTTGATGTTCCTGCCTCCAAAAATATGAAAGAATTGAGGACAATTTGACCAAACATCAAATTATTAATATCACAACTATAATATTTCATTCACTTTTATCTATAATCAGATGCTAACAAAGATAAAATGAGTCCAATATTGATATATATTATGGTTTATCAGCATTGCAAACAAGCTCTTCTTTTATTATAATTTTCTTTACTGAAATAGTTCAATAATAGTAATTAAGAAAACATCAGTATCGGTTACACGTATTTCAAAAATTTCATGGACTTGTACAAATGAAAAAACCAAGATAATCCTGAATTTTTATTTCAAGGCGTTAAAACTCCAAAAACAAAAAGGCGACATCCGTCTTTCAAAAATAATGAGTTAACTTTTTCAAGATTGTCACCAATGGACCCACAAAATTTGAGCTTTAACGTAGACTAATACGTTAATTGAGATGTGAAACTCGCAAAAATGTGATAGCTTAGGTGTGGTTTTTGACCATTATATGCAATACAAATATTATAACCAAAAACTCTTTTAACACTAAAATATTACAAAACAAAAAAATATACATCAAGCACTATCGCCTAACTTTTTTTTTTGGTTTTCATCCGGTGTTCGGTACTCACATTAGAGTCAGACTAAATCCAGATTCGCGTCAGAAAGTCTCACATTTGGGGGAAAGCGTTCCCTAACAAAGGCAACTGATGACTCGAACCCTAAACATCTGGTTAAGGATGAAGGAGTACCTCACATTCCGCTAGAACCCTAGTTGGTATATGGCCTAAGTATTGTTACATCAACATGCCTAAGAAAATGTTGCACACTTGACTCCCCAAGAACTAATCCCATTTAAGAGTCTTATCAACAACAACAACCAATAACTATCCCAACCACCAAAATTAAAACCCCAATATATACCTACCAAGAAATTATAAATGTTTTCCAGGTGTAGCAATCAACTTTGAATATGTGTCTGTTTGGCCATAGATATTTTTAACCTTTTCTATAATATTATTTCGGAAAACTGTTTAGACATAGAATTGTTACAATTTCTAAGTGTGGTCAGAAACTTGTAAAAAAAGATCATGTCTTCTTCTTCATATGAATATTTGTCTATAGGGAAAGATTATGACCTTTCTCATTTAGAAAAGCTTGCCAATGAATGGGATTCCAGCCTCCCGAGAAATAAAGAGCCAAAGAATCTAATTGAGATCATTTATATGTATCTTAAATTTTTAGATATGTTTCTCAGCTTGCAGAGCTTCACAACTGTATGTTGGTATGCTACACAGAAAGTTCAAGAAGTTTTTTCTTATGCTGAAACTGAAGTCAAAAGAATCAACCATCCCGGCGATGTTGCATCCGTGTTCTTTAAGTTGGAAGAACACATTTGTGAGACTAAGTTGGAAATCAGAGATAAATACTCCTTTCCCGAAGCATCACTACCACTTTCCTCCATCGTTGCTACTCCCGAATTTGCAAAGAAATTCATTGATACTGTTATAAGGAATCTCACTGATTTATCAGAGATTTGTCATCCTTATATTGACTTAGTTCCTCACTCAAGCAAACAGCCAATGGAAGAGGTTGTAAAGGAGTTAAAGTTATTGAGAAATTTTGTCTACTTTATTTCAGATAGAATATGCTTGGATGAGTCGGATCCTCAAAGCCAACATACTTTCTTGACTCATGTTTTAGTTGTGGCTGGTCATGCAGCAATGATTTCTTGGTTGAATTTGCCAAACCATTGGAAAGAAAAAAACTTGGCTTCAGCTAAAATGAATGCTTCATTTTCCGACTTTCAGAAGAGGATTCAGCCTATTCAACCATGTATCCGCAAGATCTATGTTGATGTCCTGCAAGCTCTAAAATCAGGATGCCATCCAAATATTGAAGCTGAGTATGTTTCTGATTATAAATATGGCTTTGTGGAGACTCTCGTACACCGTTTGAAAGTGCTGCCCGTTACTTTCAAGGATCAAATGCCAATGCTCAACTTCTTGAGAGACAATCTCATCAATCTACCAAGAGAGGCCTTTAAAGATCTTGATACCGCAATTATTGATGCAGGGCTTCTAGTTTACTCGTTGTATGACCGCGTGGAGGAGAAGGAAGACGTGGCTGTTGGGGAGTCAAATCAAGTGCCAGTTCTTGATTTCTCTGGAGATATTCCGAGTATACAAGCACTGATCTACCTCATCAGTCGGAAGTCATTTCACTCCAAATTACCTAAGATTGATGGGCTGGGATCTATTGATATCATTTTAGACCACCTGAAGGAGTATCTAAGCCTCTATTCAGACTCACTTTCTTCTATAAAGAGCCAACTTTGGACAATTCAGCAGCAATTGGATCACTTTCAGAAGCATCACGATGGATCGTTCCAGTATTTTTCAATGCAGGTGATTTCTATAGCATATGAGGTGTATCATTTGGTTGTCGGTTGCATAAATAATGATATCCCTGAGTGGTGCATTGTTCTCTGGATTGGAGACATCATAGAGGAGATTACACTACTCATGAAGGAGGTACTGAAGAATCATGATGAAAAGAAAGTTGCTGACTTGGTATTGCATACTACCACTGATGTTGTCAGTGCTCATACGTCACAACTTGCTTGGATTACAAGTATCAGAGAAGAAATGGTGGGTTTTGATGAGGTGGTGCAAACACTAAAGGGGAAGCTAATCAGAGGATCATCAAAATTGGATCTTATCTCAATTGTTGGAATGGCCGGATTGGGTAAGACAACTCTAGCTAACAAACTATTTCTTGATCAGTTAGTTGTTTCTCATTTTGATGTCTGTGCACAATGTTGTGTATCTCAAGCATATACACGTAAAGACTTGTTACTAACCATTCTTCGGGGTGTTAAGAAGGATACAGTTATCAGTGATAAACTACCAGAGAATGAATTGGCAGATAAGTTGCGTAAACTTCTATTTGGTCAGAGGTATCTTATCCTCATTGATGATGTCTGGGAAACTACTGCATGTGATGATCTAATGCCTTGCTTCTATGAAGCCAATAATGGAAGTAGACTTATCCTGACAACTCGCCATGATCATGTTGCCTACCATGCTAAACTCGTTAGTGATCCTCATTTTCTTCGAAAGTTTACTCTTGAAGAAAGTTGGATGCTATTGAAGAATAAGGTGTTCAACAAAAAAAGTTGCCCTGTTGTCTTAGAAGATGTTGGCCAAAAGATAGCACTAAAGTGTGGGGGGCTACCTCTTTCAGTTGTCCTGGTAGCAGGTATTCTCGAAACAATGGAGAAGGAAAAACGTTGTTGGGAACAAGTTGCAATAAATTTAGGTCCACACATCCAGGCTAAGTCAGAGGATATAATAAATCTTAGTTACCAAGATTTACCATTTCATTTGAAACCTTGCTTTTTGTATTTTGGAGTATTTTCGGAAGACGAAGAGATAAAGGTATCAAAATTAACATGGTTGTGGACAGCAGAAGGTTTGGTAAAAACTCATACAGAGAAGCTTTCCGAAGATATAGCAGAAAATTACTTAAAGAACCTTATTGGAAGAAACCTTGTGATGGTTTCCAAGAAAAGTTCCGATGGTAAGACCAAGACATGTCGCATTCATGACTTGTTGCTTGAGTTTTGTAAAAAGAAAGCCAAGGTGGAGAACTTTCTACAATGCATAGAAGGGTAATACAATCTAATATTTTAATTCGTAGAATCAATTTTATCTTTTAAATGTATTCTGATCATATTAATTTCTCTATTAACAGGGACAATGATAATATGAATCTTTCTTCTACTTCCTATCAGAAGCATAGCATTCAACGACGCTTATGCCTTCAATTTCAAGTTGATAATCTTGCAGAATGGAGTTCGATTTGTTCAGATGTACAATCTTTCCACTTGATGAAGGGAAGAAAAATTGGATTTTCTTCAATAGGCTATGCATCACACACTTTTAACAGTTTCAAGTTCCTGTGGGTGCTAGATTTAGAATTCACGGTAATTGATTCTTTCCCAGAAGGGTTAACCCGCTTGAGATATGTTGCTGTTAAAGTTGCTGAAGATTCTTCATTGACATTCTCGGACAATCTTTGGAACCTTGAAACTTTAGTAGTTAAAGGACTTGGAGGACGAGTAACTTTACCAGACACCATCTGGAAGATGGTCAAGTTGCGCCATTTGCACGTATACAACCGCGCTATTTTCAATATAAACAATGCTTTCCAAGAGATGGATGGATTGAGAACTCTTTCCTCTACATGGTTTCCTTGTGTGGAGGATGCAAACAGGATCTTTGCAAAGACACCAAATCTTCAAAAACTGAGATGTGAAGTTTTGTCATGTGATGGCTTTTTCCCTGCATTTAACAATCTTGAAATGCTCAAGTTTTCTTGGGGTCGTTTGGGGATATGGGCCACTGAGCTGAACTTGCCACCAAGTCTCAAGAAATTAACACTATCCAATGGTTGCGTATCTGGACTTAATCAGGTCGCAATCCTCCCCAGTCTTGAGGTACTCAAACTGCTAAACGTTTCCATTAAATCCAAATGGAAAGTGACCGATGAGCATTTCCCTCACCTCAAATTCTTGAAACTGCAAGATCTTTCTTTTTCTGAATGGGATGTTTTGGATGATGCTTTCCCATACCTTGAGCACTTGGTGTTAAGAAGATGTCAATATCTTAGGATGATCCCTTCTTGCTTCGGATACATGATATCTCTAAAATCCATTGAGGTAAAGTCATGCAAGGAGGAATCACTCACCGAGTCAGCCTTGGAGATCAAGAATATGCAAGTTGATGAGATAGGAAATTCTGATTTCCAGGTCTTCATCCACAAGTAGATCAACAATGCTCTAGTACTCTGTCTCGAACTGGTTATCAGGTATGTGGTTGATTCAATGCGAACTGAAGTCTAAATGTGCTAATAGTTGCTCTTGACTCAAGCAGATCATGAATAACCTTTGATCTCACACTTCAAGTTAATTACGTTCTTATATTAAATTTACGTAATATGGACTAGAGGGAGTAAAGAATAAGCAATAATAAATAGTATTAGCTGTGCCATGGAAGAATGATTATATTTTTGTTTCAACTGCTCCTTAATTTCAAGATTAATTTTTTCAATTTTCTTTTACAGTTTTTAAGGAGTTTTATCAGCTGAAGCAGTTGGAAAGAACAAAAAGGCTTGTATAAGATGTATTAGTTGAACTACTGGTGGTATCACTTATAGTATTCTGAAACTGATTTTAGTGATTTGTTTACTTACGGATCGAGAATGTGTGTATCATATATGGATATTGAATTAGCATTGTGTTTCCATCTGTTATTAGTTTTGATACGTACGTGACTTATTTCCTCTTTATCATGTTGTGGATAGTTTTGAGTTCTTTCAGCCTCGACGGTTCACTAATAAAACCAAATACATATATAAGAGATCCTTTAAATAAACATCAGAAAGATAACAAATTACTATATGTCATTTACATTAATACTAAGTTCCTAACTTCCTTTATTGTTCTTGCATATGTGTAAATCTCAATTTCAGTATTCGATGTTAAAAGTCTTTGATTCATTTCATACATGCTCATAACTATGGTATTAGGTTTGCTGCAATTTATTTGAGAGTTGGTTAAGATGGACAAATCCATTTTATCTTTCGTGTGATGAATTTTAACAGTACGATAACTCTAGTGTATTATTTGTTATTAATCTGTGTATAAAAAATCAGAATTACTGATTTCAATAAACTTTGCAGAAACACGAAGTAACCAAAGTTTAATAAACCAGTAAGAATAGATGAACAGAAATTAATTGCCAAAACTAAAATCTGTAATAAACGTACCACAATCTGGAAAAACAGAATCAGGAAAAGATCAAGCCCACTGAATGCACAGTGTCCCCTTAAGGAAATTATTCCCCTCTAGTATCCGAGGTTTGATTTGGAATATGTCCTCCCAGGATAGAATGATCTCAATCACCAGTGTATTGATACCCAAAACGCTGGTGTCAGCGAACCACTCAACAACAGTAGAGTACACGAAGAAATTTTGTGCAGAAGAAGAAGAAGAAATCAGAAAAATTCGTAAGGAATAAATCTGAAGAATCAATGTATTTATAGGCAAGAGGAACTGGTTCCGAAAGGTTGCAATCCTTTCCGAATCCACACGACCATTCATGAAAGTTTGCAACCTTTCAAACGGTCATGGCTGTTTCTGAAAGTTGCAACCTTTCAGAACAGTCACTGCGGGAAATTTAAATAAAACGGGAAAGATTTAAATAAAACGGGTCACGCGTGGATCCGAGTCGGGTCGGGTCAATTAACTAATTAATTGAATCGGTTAATTAACTAATTAAAACGTTGGCCATTTAATTTAGTTTAATTAAATAATTAATTAACTAAAATAATTAAAACAAACTTTGTCCAAAAAATAATCTCTCGATCGATCCTTTTTCCAAATCCAAAGCCAAAGCCGAGCCGAGCGAGCGACGACGACGACGGCGCGAGGGGGGTCCCTCTTTCCAACCCTTTTAACAATTAATAGGAGTGTTTCTATATTTAAACTCTCCTATTTTTCTTTCCACCACCGATGAGGGACAAATGTCTTTTCAATAAAGTATAAGAGGACTTTTCAAGTTCTCAACTTTTCAAGTTCCCAACTTTTTCCAAGTTCCTCTTTCATCTTCCCTCAATTTCCCATTAACTCTTGCTACATACCCAATAATCCCCCACATTAATGGGGAATAGTTATAACATAAGGAATGCACGGACGAGTGTGTACTTTACAAGCAAGAATCAATTGCATCTGGATAAGTAGGTTTCCCCTTGGACTTTCCGTAGTGAACATATGTCGGATATACTCGGTCAATCGGTAGATGCAATATCTTTGAACCGTCGAGCTTTGATGTATACCTAGACAACCATATGTCACACAATTAACCCTTTACTGTTTATGGTTCTTACGGTTGTGTTCGTTTCAGCCATGAACACCTCCTGGTTTCATGAGTGTATAAAGAATAGGCTTTTGACATAAAATTCTTTTTGAAGCGGCTTACACTTCACACTCACATAGGTGATTTCTAACCGTGTCATCTCGTAGATACACTATTTGGTCAAATCTGCCAAACTTAGCAAATCATTAAAAACTTTAAGCTTTATTAACTCATTAACAAGCCTTAAAGTCTTAACCTTGTTCCTGAACATTGTCTTCATCATGAGAATGGATTGAGTTGATTGACAATGTCGAACCGTCAGTCAAAACTTTGTTTTTCTCCTTGAATCTAGCTCTTGGGATCTCCAGTCTGCTAGATAGAGTTACCGCCCTGCTGACTTGTCCTAAGCCGTAAACCCATTCCCTTAGATGATCTTTCAACTGCCTCTCTCACTAGGCCTTTCGTTAGTGGATCTGACATATTATCGCTTGACTTCACATAGTCAATTGTGATAATTCCACTGGAGAGGAGTTGTCTTACGGTATTATGTCTCCGTCGTATATGACGAGACTTCCCGTTGTACATAACGCTCCCTGCCCTACCTATTGCTGCTTGACTATCACAATGTATGCAAATAGGTCCCACAGGTTTGGGCCAGAATGGAATATCCTCTAAGAAATTTCGGAGCCATTCAGCTTCTTCACCGGCCTTATCTAAGGCAATGAATTCAGATTCCATTGTGGAGCGGGCGATACATGTCTGCTTGGATGATTTCCAAGAGACTGCTCCTCCACCAAGTGTAAACACATAACCACTTGTGGATTTTACTTCATTTGACCCGGTGATCCAATTTGCATCACTATATCCTTCAATCACGGCAGGATATTTATTATAATGCAAAGCATAGTGTTGTGTATGCTTTAAATAACCCAACACACGTTTCATTGCCATCCAGTGAGTTTGATTTGGATTACTAGTGAACCGACTCAGTTTGCTAATAGCACATGCTATATCTGGTCGCGTACAATTCATAATATACATCAAACTTCCCAACACTCTGGCATATTCCAATTGAGAGTCACTTTCACCTACATTCTTTTGAAATGTAAAGCTTAAATCAATTGGAGTTTTGACAACATTGAAATTCAAGTACTTGAACTTATCCAATACTTTTTCAATATAATGAGATTGAGATAATGCTAGTCCCTGAGGAGTTTTGAGAATCCTGATCCCTAAGATCAAATCAGCAACTCCTAAGTCCTTCATATCGAACTTGCTGGACAGCATGCGTTTAGTAGCATTTATATCGTCAATATCTTTACTCATTATTAACATGTCATCAACATACAAACAAACAATGACTTCATGATTCGGAATGTTTTTAATGTAAACACACTTATCACATTCGTTAATCTTGAATCCATTTGTCAACATTGTTTGATCAAATTTAGCATGCCATTGTTTGGGTGCTTGCTTGAGTCCATAAAGCGACTTCACAAGTCTGCACACTTTCTCTTCTTTACCAGGAACCACAAACCCTTCAGGTTGTTCCATGTAAATTTCTTCCTCCAATTCTCCATTTAAGAAGGCTGTCTTTACATCCATTTGATGGATTTTAAGATCATGCACTGCCGCTAGTGCTATTAACATTCTAATTGATGTTATCCTTGTTACTGGAGAGCATGTATCAAAGTAGTCCAGACCTTCCTTTTGTCTATATCCTTTGACTACAAGTCTAGCCTTATATTTGTCAATAGTCCCATCGGCTTTCATTTTCCTTTTAAAGATCCACTTTGATCCTAAAGGTTTATTTCCTGGAGGAAGATCAGCCAATTCCCAAGTATGATTACTTAAAATTGATTCGATCTCACTATTGACAACTTCTTTCCAATAGATTGACTCAGATGACGACATAGCTGCTTTAAATGTTGGAGGCTCATTTTCAAGCAAAAATGCCACAAAATCTGGTCCGAAAGAAGTGGATTTCCGTTGGCGAGTACTACGCCTAGGATCTTCATTAGGTTGTGCATTTTCCTTTGATTCTTCCCGTGGTCGTTTAGATCTTTCACTTGTCGACTCACATTCAGTTTTATACGGATAAATGTGTTCAAAGAACTCAGCGTTATCTGACTCAATTATCGTATTCACATGAATTTCAGGATTATCAGATTTGTGAACCAAAAAACGACAGGCCTTACTGTTCACAGCATATCCAATAAATACACAATCCACTGTTTTGGGTCCAATTTTCACCCTCTTAGGTAAAGGAACTTCTACCTTGGCAAGACACCCCCACACTTTGAAATATTTCAAGTTGGGTTTCCTACCTTTCCATAACTCATATGGAATTGATTGCGTTTTGCTACGGGGTACCCTATTGAGTATCTTGTTAGCCGTAAGGATGGCTTCTCCCCATAGATTTCTTGGTGAACCAGAACTGATTATTAATGCATTCATCATTTCCTTTAATGTTTTGTTCTTCCGTTCAGCCAAACCATTTGACTGCGGTGTATAGGGTGCAGTAGTTTGATGGATAATACCATATTCCAAACATATCTCAGCAAAAGGAGATTCGTATTCTCCACCCCTATCACTTCGAATCATTTTTATCTTTAGATTCAATTGATTTTCCACTTCATTTTTGTATTGCTTAAATGCATCAATTGCTTCATCCTTACTATTAAGCAAATATACATAACAAAATCGAGTGCAATCGTCAATAAAAGTTATAAAATACTTTTTCCCACCACGAGATGGTGTCGACTTCATATCGCATATATCTGTGTGAATTAAGTCTAAAGGTTTTGAATTTCTTTCAACAGACTTATAAGGATGTTTAGCAAACTTACTTTCCACACAAATTTTGCATTTTGATTTATCGCATTTAAAATCGGGCAATACTTCTAAAGTAACCAATTTCCGCAAGGCTTTGTAATTTACATGTCCCAAACGGGCATGCCATAAATCATTTGACTCCAATAAGTAAACAGAAGCAGAATTCTTATTAATACTGTCAACAACCATTACATTCAGTTTGAAGAGGCCCTCAGTGAGGTAGCCTTTTCCTAAGAACATCTCATTCTTACTTATTACAGCTTTGTCACTAACTAGGACACACTTGAACCCATTTTTAACGAGCAGTGCAGCAGAAACTAAATTCTTCCTAATAGTAGGAACGTGCAGAACGTTGTTCAGAGTCAACACCTTGCCGGATGTCATCTTCAACATTACTTTCCCAGTTCCTGCAATCCTTGCTGTTGCTGTGTTTCCCATGAACAAATCTTCATTAACCTCAGCAGGAGTGTATGTTGCAAAGGCTTCTTTCGCAGAGCAAATATGTCGAGTGGC